GGTCCTTCTAGAACTATGAGTTTAGGAGGAAATCTATATGCACTGGTTATAGTAGATGATTACTCAAGATTTACCTGGACATTATTTTTAAAATTAAAATCTGATACTTTCCATTTGTTTAAGAAATTTGCGAAACAAATTCAAAATGAAAAAGGCTATTTTATCTCTTGTATTCAAAGTGATCATGGAGGAGAATTTTCAAACGAAAATTTCAATAAATTTTGTGATAAACATGGTATCAAGCATAGTTTTTCTGCTCCTAGAACTCCTCAACAAAATGGTGTAGTTGAAAGGAAAAATCGTTCTCTTGAAGAGCTAGCTAGGACAATGCTTAATGAGAAAGCATTACCAAAATATTTGTGGGCTGATGCCGTTAGCACTACTTGCCATGTATTAAACCGTGTTTTAATCAGACCTTTTCTTAAGAAAACCCCCTATGAATTATTCAAAGGTAAAAAGCCTAACATAAACTATTTCATAGTATTTGGAAGTAAGGTTTTTGTTTTAAACAATGGAAAGGAAAGTCTTGGAAAGTTTGATTCCAAATCAGATGAAGGTATCTTCTTGGGATATTCGTTGAATAGCCATGCCTATAGAATCTTTGACAAAAGGCTGAATACTGTAGAAGAATCTGTCCATGTTGTATTTGATGAGACTAACCCAAGTGTGCAGAATATTTCTGAATATAGTACAGGAGATGATGTTTTAACTGATAAAATGTATCAGTTAAAACTGCCAGAATCACCAACTTCTCAAAAGCAGGTTAAAGAAGTTGAAGAAAATGAAGAACAGCTGCCTAAAGATTGGAAAACTCCAAGAAATCTTTCAATGGACAACATCATTGGTGAAATAAATTAGGGAGTTTCCACTAGAAGATCTTTAAATAAATTTTGCAATCATATGGCATTTGTATCTCAAATTGAACCTAAAACTGTATCTGATGCATTAAAGGATAATAACTGGATTAACGCTATGCATGATGAATTAAATCAATTCACTAGAAATGAAGTATGGGAATTAATTCCAAAACCAGATAATGCAAATATTGTAGGTACAAAATGGGTGTTTAGGAAAAAAATGGATGAAAATGGTATAATCACTAGAAACAAGGCCAGATTAGTTGCTAAAGGGTATAATCAGCAAGAAGGAATTGATTTTGATGAGACATATGCTCCTGTTGCTAGATTAGAGGTTGTTAGACTTTTGCTTGCCTATGCTTCAATAAAAAATTTTAGGTTATTTCAAATGGATGTCAAAAGTGCTTTCTTAAATGGCTACTTGAATGAAGAAGTTTTTGTTACACAACCACCTGGTTTTGAAGATCATATTCATCCAGAATATGTTTATAGACTAAAGAAAGCTTTGTATGGCCTCAAACAAGCCCCAAGACAATGGTATGAAAGGTTAAGTAATTTTCTCATTTCTAAGGGCTATAAAAGAGGTTTGGTTGATAAAACTTTATTCCTGAAAAAATTAAACAATGAAGTAATTCTAGTTCAAGTATATGTTGATGACATCATATTTGGAGCCACTAATGTCTCTTTATGTAAAGATTTTATCAAAGATATGCAGGGAGAATTTGAGATGTCTATGATGGGAGAACTTAACTACTTTCTTGGATTACAAGTTAAACAACTTAAAGAAGGAAGTTTTCTGCATCAATCTAAATACTGCATAGAACTTTTGAAGAAATTTGAGATGGAACATTGCAAAGAAGCATCAACACCTATGTCCACAAATTGCTATCTTGATTCTGATGAAAAAGGAAAAGTTGTTGATGAAACCAAATATAGAGGACTTATTGGTTCTTTGCTATATCTAACAACAAGTAGACCTGACATTATGTTCAGTGTTTGTATGTGTTCCAGGTTTCAATCTGCACCAAAAGAATCACATCTTACAGCTGCAAAAAGAATCCTCAAATATCTCAAAGGAACTTTAAATGTTGGGTTATGGTATCCTGGTGAGTCCAAATTAAATTTAATTGGATATTCTGACTCAGATTTTGCAGGTTGTAAGCTTGACAGGAAAAGTACCATTGGCACCTGTCATCTTCTTGGAAGCAGTCTAATCTCTTGGCACAGTAAAAAGCAATCATGTGTTGCTCTTTCTACAGCTGAAGCGGAGTACATTGCAACTGGAAGTTGTTGTGCTCAATCTCTTTGGATCAAACAACAACTTGAGGATTATGGTTTAATTCTCAGAAAGATTCCTCTGTTATGTGATAATACTAGTGCCATTATGTTAACTAAAAACCCAATTCAACATTCTAGGACAAAACATATAGAAATTAGACACCATTTCATTAGAGATCATGTTTTGAAAGGTGATTGTGAAATTTTCTTCATAGAAACTGAAAAACAACTAGCATATATTTTTACAAAACCTCTTGCTCGTGATCGGTTTTACAAAATTCATACTGAACTAGGCATTTTAGATGCATCAAACATCTCTTAGTTTTCAAAACTGGTTGTTTTAATCAATAAAAAAATCTTTTAAATCGATTAAAAGAATTTATACATCATTTTTCTTACTATTTTAATCGATTAAATGACGAATTAATCGATTAAATGAACTTATGTTTCAAAATTTTGAATTCCTTCACTGTTTTAATCGATTAAACCTTTATTTCAATCGATTAAAACCATTAAACAAGATATTTTTAATCGATTTTGTCCTATTTTTAATCGATTTTTATTCTGGAAAGAAAAATTAAAGGCTTTAGTTAATGACTGTTATTATAACATGCTACTAAGGCATGGTTCCCTTATCTTTACACGTGTTAATTGTATTCATTACAAACGTGTTAATGAAGATAAGCTTGAATCAACTTTGATTTGTCTTTACATGAGTAAAGTATTGTATCCAATTTTTTTTCTTCTTTTCGAAATCTAAGACATGATACATACCATGCATTGTTTTTTCTTCTGTTCCCTAATTTTGATGAAGTCAAAAGGGGGAGAAAGAGTTGCTTTATTTTATAATTTAGGGGGAGAAATAGGAAAATAATTCATTTTTGGTTACTCACTAATCTATATTATCAAGTGACTTCTTTTGCAGAGTTTTTTATTCAAAGTGGTGTTTGTCTTCATCAAATAGGGGGAGACTGAAAGTGATGAAGATCTTATTGAAATACTCTATCAAAGATCTTGTTGATTTGATGAAGTCAAGAATGAAGTCAAAGGCAACTTTGTGGAAGTCAAAGGCAACTTTGTGGAAGTCAAAAGTCACTTAGATAAAAGAGTAGAGGGATTACTGTGTCTGCAACTCTGCTTAGGTATAATCATTTTTATCTTTTCTGCTGCATGGGGTTTCTTCACTTAAAAAGATTTTGCAAAATGCCTCTAAAAGCGTTTAAAAGGTCAAAACCAAAGTATTTTGATAAAAGCTTTCTTAATCAACTATTTTAACTAATAGCATATAAGCTTTATCAACTAAAATGTTCTTCACACTTTTATAACAGGTTTTTAACTGATATAACTTCAAAATAATCGATTGATTTCATTAAAAGAAGTTTTTAAAACCTTCTGCCAGTATTTTAACTGATACAGCTTCAAAATAACCGATTAAATTCACTTAAAATGTTCAGAGAAGTGTTTTTACAGTATTTTAATCGATACAATTTCGTTTTAATCGATTAATTTCATTTGGCATACTGTATGACCGATCAGAATACGATTATGACCGATCAGAATCAGTTATGATCAATCAAAATTTAGTTATGACCGATCAGAACTATTTTAATCGATTAAATTACGTTTCAATCGATTAAATCAACTTAAGAAAATTTTTATTACGCGTTTTAATCGATTAATACGAGTTTTTATTAGTTAAAATCACTTGGAAAAGTTTACAAGAAAGTTTTGCAGTATTTTAATCGATTGAAACATGAAACAATCGATTAAAACAAATTAGAAGATTTTTTACAAAGAGTTTTAATTGATATAAACGTTGTCATATCAGTTAAAACAAATCTGGAAAATAATCAAGAATGTTTTAATGGATTAAAAGAAGTTTTAACAGATTAAAACAAGGCTTTTAACAGATTAAAAGATTATTTTAACAGATTAATTAAACCAGCAGTTTTGAAAATCTTCTATATAATCAGAGTTGCTTGATCATTTTAATACACATTTGATATACATTTTTTAGCAATCTTTCAAGCAATCAAAAGTACTAATTTCAAGAAAGAATCACGCTAGTTTTTGTGAAGTTCATCAAAGTTATTTCTTGAGGCAAAACTGCATTCTTTTGAAGGAGAAATAACATATTGCAGAACTGCATAAAACTGGTTTGAACGTTTTAGTTTCTTTTGTTTGTTTCTTTACATTCTTTTCTGTCTTGTTGGTGCCTGGAATTGTGGGCACTGGTTTCTCTACAGCTGGAATTTGGTTGTAGAGGTTGTCAAGAACTGGAATTGTGGTTCTTGTGGTAGATTGAGTGTGTGATTAAGGTTGTAATCTGTAAAACATTCAATCTAGTGGAACCCAGCTGGAATTTGGCTGGAGACTAGACGTAGCCCTGGGATTGGGTGAACCAGTATAAACCTTGGTGATATCTTTCTAAACCTTTCTTTTCTTTAATTTGATTAATTGCATTTATTTTTTTGATTGCTTGCTGTGTGATTCAAAAATAGATATGAAATCTTAATTTTTGAAATAGATAATCTGTTAATTACGAAAATCTTTCAAAGATCAATTCACCCCCCCTCTTGATCTCAGCCTCTTTTTCTAACACTCTAGATACCATGTTGAATATAGAAGAAATAGAGTTTGAGATTAATCTCCCTTGTGTATAAATCACACATAGGGTAGTCTATTTATAATAGAGAGATACAACTAAAAGAGTAACTGAAAGTAACAGAATAAACAGAAGATATTGTTTGATATTGTGGTTAATAATATCTAACAATATCTTAACAATATCAAACAATATCTAAACAAAATCTAACAATCCTTCACGCTTCTCAAGCCTCCCCCACACTCTCTCAACTCCCTCACTCACTCACCCTCAACCCGAATCAAAACCTCCCTCATTATCCACCGCCAACCCCTAACCGCACACGTAACCACCTCCATCGAACCATCGCACAGGGCACCCCCGTCCACCTTCTCTTCACCGCGCCAGCCACCACGGGTCCCAGTCGTTCCACCCCCATCATAGCCCACACCCAGCATCAGCCCAGTATTTGTAGCCATTGTGGTCGCCTCCACCAAGCTAACCACAGAGCGACCCAAACCCGCGGCCACCATCGCCGCACGAACCACCACTGCCGAGCACCTTTGACTTTCGAGGATCACCTCGCACCACCAGCTGCCAGTCGCACCTCAACCAGATTCGCCAAGAGCCCCATTCACGATTTTGTCCAATCCGAGTGGGTTTGATTATTTTCTTGTCTTTTATCTGTGCTTGGGTTTGGTTGCGTTGTGGTTACACACCCCTGTTTGGACAAAGTTGTTTTGTCTGTCGCTAGTTCATTTTGCTTAAATTTAAACCAAATTTTGGATTCGTTCGCTACCTGGTTCAAGATTGCCTGGTTCTGATGTGGGTTATATGGTGGCTGCCTAGATTTTGTTAGATTGAGTATCCTGGATTTTGTTATATTGAGTATCTTGGATCTTGTTAGGTTGAGTGTAACTGATTTATTATTTTTGGGTTAGGTATATTTTGTCAGTAAATCTGTTGTCTTTGTTTTTGAAAGAATTAATGGTTGAGTTCAAGAGGGGGGGTGAATTGAACTTTAAAACTTTTTCGCAAAACTTACTTTCTTTTGGAAGAATGAGTTATCTTTATTCAATCTTTGCAAAGGTAATTTGGTTTAAACACAGCACAATTAAAGACAGAAAATAAAAGAGATGAAAGAAGAATATTAACACACAAAATTATACTGGTTCACTCTAATCCGTAGCTACATCCAGCTTCTTGACAAACCAGTCAAGTTCCACTAATACCAAGTGAAAATTACAACCAAGTAGATACTCACCAATCTACCCCAAGAACTATCTTGCAAAACCCACAAGACAGAATCTTGAAAACCACCCAAGTAACCAAATCCAAGTCATCGTACCAAGTGCAGATTACAATCCAACCTGCACAATCAAACTTTTACAAAAGAATATGGAAAGAAAAAACCTGGACTTGAAGTTTCTAATTGTCCGTAACCAATTCTAACAACACTTTCTCTCTTTGAATGACCACAATTCTGATCACAAGCACCTTATGATATGAAAAAGATTCTTGAATGCGAGAGAAAGTCACGTATGAAAGTTTCACAGATTGATTTCACAAGTTTTCTCAAGTAGTGTATTGTATTGTATATCTCAAAAGATAGATCAAATCTGTATATATAGAGTAAATCAGAAAATCGAACGTTTCATCTGTTAAAAACTGTTTTAGAGAGTCAAAAGATAAGTTGGTTAGCAGTAAAACAGGTTTAGAAGAGACTCTGATCGATTAGAACAGAAGTATGATCGATCAGACTGAGTTATGATCGATCAGAATAAAACTATGATCGATCAGAATGAGTTATGATCGATTAGAACAAAACTATGATCGATCAGAATATTATTTCAGAATATTAAATCGATTAAAATATCGATTCAATCGATTGATTCGAGTTTTTAATGGATTGAAACAACTTAATGAAAAATGACAGTCTCTGTTTCAATCGATTGAAAATCATTTCAACGAGATTAATTTTCTAAAAACTCTTAGACCGAAAAAGGTCTTTCTGTTTCAACATGATTTAAAAAAATATTTCAACAGATTGATTTTCTAAAAACTCTTAGATCTGAAAAAGGTCTTTCTCGTTTCAACAGATTTAAGATTGAAAATGCGAAACTTGATATTGAAAATTCATTGAGTTATTTTAACTTGTTGATTCCGCGAATCAATCAATTGAATTTTCGATTATGTATGACCATTTATTATGATAAGTGATTTTAACAGATTGAAAATCCTTTTTAACAGATTGAAAAAAAAAACTTAGTTTATTCTTTTAATACTTAAACGTAAGTTTTTCATGCAGAAAAATGATTTTCAATGGGATGCAACATTTTAAGGTGCTTATCACAAAATATAATGGCCTATCAAGAGATTAAGTGCTTAAACTTAAAAACCTAATCATCTACACACCCACAACCTAAGTTATATCTATGTCTTCATCAAATCCACCAAGTGCTTCAATCTCCCCCTATTTGATGGAGACAAATAACCACTCGCACTCGCAAAACAAAAATAATAGACCGAGAGACATATATTTTGTGGTGTGTGTGTAGTGACAGCTTTTAAGCAAAATACTTCTCCCCTATTTGACTGCATCAAATAGATTGTAGTAGTTACAGTCCAATGGGGCCACGTGGGAACCCCAAATATAAACCAGAACATTAAAAAAAATGAAAAGAAAGCAGAATAACGAGACATATAGAAAGTCTTCATTTGTCCCCGGGCCTTGATTGAATTGCAGCTCCACAATCTCGTTGTAAATATCTTCTAGTTGATTATCAATATGCTGGAACCTTGCAATGAAATTTTCATCCAAATAATGCTGCCGAGCCCTCGGAGCGAGCAGTCATCTCCATATGCCTCCTTTGGTCAGGCTTGCAGTTCGCTCATTTGATGTAACATTGTTCTTTCGAACCGAGACAGAGGCGTGCCACGGTCGAGCGGTGGATTGTATGGAATCATCTCCATTGGGGTTACTTCTTCTTCCATTGGATCAGACGGACGTGCTCGCAGAAGTTCCAGGAATATCGGTGTTGATCTCTTCCTCTTGCTCTTCTTCTTCACTTTCTTCACTTCTCCCAAAGATCTTCTCTCGAGATCCATTCACCATCAACTTTAATGAATCCCATTTTGTGAAGCACAAAATTATTTATTTCATTTGTTGGTCAGACGGTTTCAACAAGTTCTCCTTCAACATCGACACCAAAATGTGTTAAAAATTTAGAAATCAGAATAGCATAGGGATACCTGAAGTCACTAAGTCTCTTGGCTTTGATCATGTGATCCTTGATGACAAAGACCCAGTTCACACGTATTCCGTGATGAATGCAAGACATCGAACTAAATCTCCTTCATTTAGCACCGCATGATTGCTCCCCCGGGTGTGAGCCGCCACGACACAATGAAAGCGAGAATCCTTTCTTCCAGACTTCAACTTCCCAGTATTGAAAGAACTCGACGGAACCACGAGTATTCTTCATACATGATCGAAATTACTGGACCTTATTAAATTCCTCCACATCCGAAGTGTATCCTTTGGTGACTTTTACACCAACATCCTTTATTCCAAGCAACCTCCTTCCGGATGTTGGGTGTAATTTCAATGTCTACTCCTTTAACTTGGGTTGTCAAAGTGGAACCTTCAAAGGATAAATTTGTGAAGAAAACTTTAATTAAATCAGGATAAATCCTACCATTTAACTCCGAAACTTCGAAGCTTTTGGTGTTGCAGTAGTTTTCGAATGCCTCCGAATCCTTCGGCATCAAACCAGGAGAACTTTAACATCTTTGGAATGTTGACTTGCTTCCTGCTCAATTCATGGATAAACAAATCCATTTTCTCTTGATCCTCATTGAACCAAATTTCAATCCTTCCTCCAACATTCTGTTCTTGCCTTGCAGTAGAGGACTCGCCTCTGCTGGATTTCTTCCTACCAGACTTTGTGCGCTTGAACATACTTGATCTTTGGGATGAGCAGAATAGAGAAGAACCGAGAAAAGAGAAAGTTCAAAGAAGAAAATAATACTATAGGAATGAGAATACACAATCTTTTTCAGCTTCAAGGTTTTTGTCTTTACTATATTACTGCTACTGCACAGTGATGATAAAGGTGGAGAGAGAAGAAATTGCTACTGTACAACTTAATTACCTTCACAGTAGATATCCAATCAGTATCAATCAGCTTTTATTGGATATCTTGGATAATGAAGAGAGTAGTTGAAGTTTATCTTGTTGTAAATGCTTTCAGTTTACTCTGCAGAAATTGGTTAGAGACAAAGTACATACAACTAGCCCTAGAAGAAAAATAATCAATTGATATTTCGTGAAACCAACTGATTTTGTAATCGTAGATACTTATAAGTGAAATACACCGATTGAATCAAAAATTAAATCGATTATTTTGTAAAAGAAAATTATTCAGAGTACCATTAATGAATTCAATCGATTGAATCAAAGATTTAATCGATTGATTTATAAAAGAAGGTGTGCAGAGCTACAAGATTAATGAAATAAATCGATTAAAAGTTTATCTAATCGATTGAACTAATAACATATCAATACCAAAGAGTAAGAATCAGGAAATCAACAGATTATTTCGCAATTTCAATCGATTGAAACAAATAATATTCAGTTATTCATGCAATTATTAATCGATTGAACTTGTTATCAACCTGTTAAAAAAACATACACTTACTCGTAAAGAATCGCTTATGCAATACTAGATATATCTAGAATTCCTAATTCAGTCCTAAGCATATTAAGTCTGTCTCTAGGAAGTGGTTTAGTGAATAAATCAGCCTAACCGTTTTTCGATTCAACGAATAATATCTCACAATCACCCCTAGATACGTGTTCTCTAATAAAGTGATGTCTAATTTCAATATGCTTAGTTCTAGAGTGTTGAATAGGATTCTTAGTTAAGTTTATTGCACTAGTATTGTCACAAACCAGGGGTACCTTGTTTAGAGTCACTCCATAATCTGTTAGTTGTTGCTTGAGGTAAATGCTTTGAGCACAACGACTCCCAACCGCAATGTATTCAGCTTTCGCAATCGACAGAGCAACACACGCTTGCTTTTTGTCTGTGCCACGATATAAGACTCGCTCCCAGTAGATGACAAGTACCGGAGGTACTTTTTCTCGTCCAATCTACATCCCGCAAAGTCGAATTAGAAAATCCAACAAGTTTAAGGGATGCACCTTCAGGATACCATAGTCCAACATTAACTGTTCCCTTAAGGTACTTCGTAATCCTTTTGGCAGTGGTAAGATGTGATTCCTTTGGATTTGCCTCGAAATCTTGCACAAAGGCACACACTAAACATAATGTCGTGTCTACTAGCAGTTAGATATAGTAGTGAACCAATCAAACCTCTGTATTTAGTTTGATCAACAGGTTTTCCTTTTTCATCTAAGTCTAGACAACAGTTAGTAGACATGGGTGTAGAGGACTCCTTGCAATTTTGCATATCAAATTTCTTTAACAATTCATTGCAGTATTTAGATTGACTAAGAAAAATGCCATTT